ACACGTATGTACACTTTAAAACTATTATAAGTTAACAAAATCGCATAAATGCATTATAAGGAACACACAAATAATACATCATATACACCTTAGAATAACTCTATATATATTACGTTATTCTTACAAAAAGGGGAGGTGTAGTGTATTCATGAAGTGTGTTTGGCCAATCAATTTAAGCACCACTCTAAAGACAAATTGCAATATGATGCGGCCCCAGCGGCAATCGCTGTCAATGCCCAAAAGGGCATTGCTATTTTTTTGCTACATCTGCTATCTACATCTACATATACAATGTCTATTCTACATCTAACATGTAGATTGTACATGTACCATTTAGATTCTACATCTCCTCCGCTGGGGGTTGCTGGCGCACTGAACGCAGCAGAGTGTGCGAGCGAGAAAGAGAATGAGTAGATCTCTGGCTGAAGTAGACGGGGGAAGCAACTGAAAATTAATTTCTTCATTCTGGCTATATTTATGATTCGATCTGATTCAGATTCGGCAATCTGGTAAATATGATCAATCTCTACGATACTGCGTTTTTAGTTTGATCGTATCTTTAAAATTGTACCTGACACAGATTTTCGTCCTTTGTGGGGGCGGAAGTGGGCGGGGCGAAATTTTGAAATACACTTTTAGCAGTGTGATATCACATGAGTCTGGAAACCAAATTTGGTTTCTCTAGCTCTTATAGTCTCTGAGTCTCGGACGGACAGACGGATATAGCTATATCGACTCGGCTATTGATGCTGATCAAGAATATATATACTTTATGGGGTCGGAAACGTTTCCTTCTCTGCGTTGCACACATCCACTTTTACCACAAATACAATAAACCCCTTAACTCTTTTTTGAGTACGGGTATAAAAAGTATTAATAGCCATTCACGGTACCAAATTTTTGGTAAAAACCGATCATCGTCTATTAACATACTTATTTTCAATGAAAAACCCCCGTCCAAATTAACACGAATGCGATTAGAAGAATATGATTTTGTGGTGGAGTACATAGCAGGGAAAGAAAACTATGTAGCGGATGCGCTATCCCGCAAAGAAATATCCGATTTGAAAAGTTTAACTGCCAAGGCAGCCAAATACTCAATGTAACAACATGGTCGGAGGCCGAAAAATTAATAATAAAAAAAACACTCCTAATAAGAGTATCAAAAAATGTCTTAAGGTGCCAAAAATATACGAAGTCCTATATAAAAAAGAAGTAAACCGTTTAAAGAACCATGGACCCCATGGTTCGTCACAAGCAGTCGATACAAGCAACGCTACTTCCACAGAAAGAAAGAAAAACCAAAAACTCAGAACACGCGCGGCCAATCGACGGAAAGGCGCTGACCAAGATTATATAATCAACCCCCACCACAGCAAAACCTAAGTAACCAAACGCTCTCAAATGACGCGTTCAACACCCAACAAAAACGAAAACTCAGCACACCCTAAACAACAGGAGACTGGCACAAGGGGGCTTACGCAATGATTACCTAAAAAAAATATTAGATAAATAAATATTCCTTAGAGTTTATTCACGAAGTGTCAACAAAATTCCTTTCCCACGGTACCGGTGCACACCGATCACCTTACCTGGGACATTTGTTGGTAGGCGTTTGCATAAGGTAACCCTCGGTAGTCGGGCAATTCACTCACACGCGCGAGCCAGTCAGGAGTTATTGGTGGTGATAGTTGCGCTGATAGGCAGAAAAGTGCAAAAATGTGCTGTTAGGCGCAAAAGCAATCGAATATATCGAATAGACGCACATGAATCAAAGACCGACGCAACTGTTTGCCACCACTAGGGCCCTATGCTTAACCTATGAAAAAAAACTGCGTCTCCGGCAAGACGCAAAGAAGCATGACGCAGCCCCAGTATAAACGGCCTATTAGAATCCTTCCAACATTCCGAAGTAGAAATACGACATCTGTAAGACATTGGTGGAAAAATCGATGGCTGGCCGATCCGTAAAAGGCCCTGCCTTTGAGACGAGGCAGTCCATCAGCCATAGCAGTCAGGCAAATAACAAACACGCAAGTCAGGCAGTCGGTCAACCATACGCGTCATAGAACAAATAAAAATAACCTAATACATAACATAACACGGTAGCATAATAATATGGAAAATAAAGATACCCATTAAAAGTCAAGGAACCAAAAGTGTTGTGATTTCGCTAATCATTTTATTTCAGGTGCTGGCAAAGTCCCCGTTTTTCCAATAATTCCTCGTGAATTATAAATTATCTAGTAATTCAGGACTCTGGACAGACTGATGCATATCCCAGCCTGAGATAGGTTCTTACAAGTGGTGCCCAAACAGGGACTTTAAAGGATTTTTGTAGGAAAATTTCAAGAAAACCGAAATCAGGGACTTCGTGGAATAACGACTCACTGCCCACACAAGCCAAACTCACCAATAACAGCTCATCAATAACAAATGACAGTGACTCAGTGCCAAAATCAACAGAAAACCACCATGGAATATCACGACGAGGAAGAACCAGAGGAGGCATACCCTGCGGAACACTTTTGCAATCCAGGGGCCAGCACCGGCTGGATCCACAAACTCCGTCGGGACGAACTAGAAGTCCTCGCCAAAGAATTCGGATTCGGCAACGAAGGAACGGTCGATGAGCACAGAAAGAAATTTTCCGCACTAGTCGCCGGGCCACTAGGAAAGTCACCACTGCCCACTAGAGCCACCACTGCCCACTACTCCTGGACCATCCGACACGCACGCTATTTTGACAATCGGAAGACCAGATCCGAGCCCGCAAGCAAGCGGTGGGGGAATTGTTCAAAGATGTCCTCATCGAGATGCGGCTACTCATGCACCACGCTGGCTACTACGCGGTTAAAGAACTAAACAGGACTTACAACCATGCCCTACCAGCATACCATATGTACTTGCGCCGCTACGAACTGCAAGACCTGTCACAGCTAACACTGCTGGCCACGGAGTTCGAGAGTATTCCAGAGCGGACCATCCCGACCACTTTGCACCCTCGCCACACACGCCCAGATACGCAAGGCCGGCAACAGAGCAGAGGAGCGGCGAGTTCAATTGGACACCATTTCGGACAACTAGACAACAATCCACTTTTACCCTTTAACACTATTTTGAGTACGGGTATAACGAGAAGGAACATGTGAGTCGCTTCTCGAGATGCGACTCTACTATACCCGTACTCAGTCAGTATATACATTTTTAAGCATATGATTTATTAGAATTTTAGAATTCAAAAAAACATTTTACACTTTTTTTGCTACATCTGCTATCTACATCTACATCTACAAGGTATATTCTACATCTAAAATGTAGATTACACATGAACCATTTAGATTCTACATCTCCTCCGCTATGGGTTGCTCGCGCACTGAACGCGGCAGAGTGTGCGAGCGAGAAAGAGAATGAGTAGCGTGTCTCTGGCTGTGGTGGCGGGGGAAGCAACTGAAAATTAATTTCTTCATTCTGGCTATAATTATGATCCGATCTGATTCAGATTCTGCAGTCTGGTAGATATGTAGGTCATTCTCTACGATACTGCGTTTTCAGTTTTATCGTATCTTTAAAATTGTGCCTGCCACAGGTTTTCGTCTTTCATGGGATCGTAGGGGGGCGGGGCTAAATTTTGAAATACACTTGTAGCAGTGTGATATCACATGAGTCTGGAAACAAGATTTGGTTGCTCTAGCTCTTATAGTCTCTGAGATCTAGACGCTCATCAAGACGGACAGACGGACATGGGTATATCGAGTCGGCTTTTGATGCTGACCAAGAATATATATACTTTATGGGTTCGGAAACGTTTCCTTCTCTGCGTTGCACACATCCACTTTTACCACAAATACAATATACCTCTTAACTTTTTTTTAGTACGGGTATAAAAATGTACACTTAATACAACGTACACGCACACTCTAAAACTTTTATATATATACTTTATACAGAAGCAATGTACACTTAAAACAAAATACACGTATGTACACTTTAAAACTATTATAAGTTAACAAAATCGCATAAATGCATTATAAGGAACACACAAATAATACATCATATACACCTTAGAATAACTCTATATATATTACGTTATTCTTACAAAAAGGGGAGGTGTAGTGTATTCATGAAGTGTGTTTGGCCAATCAATTTAAGCACCACTCTAAAGACAAATTGCAATATGATGCGGCCCCAGCGGCAATCGCTGTCAATGCCCAAAAGGGCATTGCTATTTTTTTGCTACATCTGCTATCTACATCTACATATACAATGTCTATTCTACATCTAACATGTAGATTGTACATGTTCCATTCATATTCTACATCTCCTCCGCTAGGGGTTGCTCGCGCACTGAACGCGGCAGAGTGTGCGAGCGAGAAGGAAAATGAGTTGCGTTGTCGTTTGCTGGAGGGGGCAGGGGAAGCAACTGAAAATTAATTTCTTCATTCTGGCTATAATTATGATCCGATCTGATTCAGATAGTCTGGTAGATATGGTCATTCTCTACGATACTGCGTTTTTAGTTTTATCGTACCTTTAAAAATGTGCCTGCCACAGATTTTCGTTCTTTGTGTGGGCGGAAGGGGGCGGGGCGCTACACTTGTAGCAGTGGGATATCACATAAGTCTGGAAACCAAATTTGGTTGCCCTAGCTCTTATAGTCTCTGAGATCTAGGCGCTCAACAAGACAGACAGACGGACAGACGGACAGAGGGACAGACAGACATGGCTATATCAACTCGGCTATTGATGCTGATCAAGAATATATATACTTTATGGGGTCGGAAACGTTTCCTTCTCTGCGTTACACACATCCACTTTTACCACAAATCTAATATACCCCTTAACTCTTTTTTGAGTACGGGTATAATAAAGAACTACTACTACTACAATCTACATGTTAGATGTAGAATACACATTGTAGATGTATGCGTAGATGTAGATATCAGATGTAGCAAAAATTTTAAAATGTAAATTTTTTTTTTTTTGTCGACTACACGGACCCGATCGTCGGCGCCGGGGTACACGGAATGGATTCGTCCGAGACGCCATTCATTAGACGGCAAGTTGTCTTCCTTGACGACGACCATATCACCAATCTGCAGATTGGGCGTGGGCGTTTGCCATTTGGTCCGCTTGTGGAGTTCCTTGAGGTATTCCTCTTTCCACCTACGACAGAACTGTTGGTTGAGTGCCTTCAGATGTTGCCATCGATTTATGATCGAGGTGAGGTCACCCTTAACTTCTGGCTCCGCCGTCGCCATTAAGGGTCCCCCCGTAAGGAAATGCCCGGGAGTTAGGGCCAGTAACTCCGTCGGATCTTCGGACATAGGCGAGAGCGGTCTGGAATTAAGGCACGCCTCTATTTTCGAGAGAAGCGTGGAGAGCTCCTCGAAGGTGTATCTACGAGTGGACGTGGCCTTATAGAACAGGGTTTTGAAGCTCTTCACTCCGGCTTCCCAAAGTCCCCCCATATGTGGGGCCCCTGGTGGGATGAATTTCCACGAGACCCTTTGGTGACTATACGCATCAATCACAGAGTCCTTAAATGCTTCTAGGAAATCACGGGCCAGTACTGTGGCTGCGCCCACAAAGGTCTTGCCGTTATCGGAGTGGATACTCTGTGGACAGCCTCGTCTCGCGACGAACCGCGCGAAGGCAGCGAGAAATTTCTCGGTGGTGAGGTCGGACGTAGGCTCCAAATGAATAGCCTTCGTGGAGAAACACACGAACACGCACACATACCCCTTGGTAATAAGGCACGCCCGCCCTGTGTAGTTGCGGATTTCGAAGGGACCGGCGTAGTCAATTCCGGTGTGCGTGAAAGGTCGGGAGAATGAAGTTCGCTCCCTGGGGAGATCCCCCATCAGTTGAGTTTGCAACTTCCTTTTGTGGATAAGGCACACTTTGCAAGAGTTCACGACACCCTTCATCAGCTTCTGAATCCGTGGAATCCAATACTTGGATCGGATAAGTCGCACCATCAATTGGCTGCCCCCGTGAAGAGTGATCCGGTGTGTGAACTGCGTGAGGAGTCGCGACAAACGACAGTTATACGGAAGAATTATGGGATGTCGCTCGTCATACTTCAGCCCTTGCGCCGTAGATACACGGCCGCAGGAGCGTATGACCCCATGTTGATCCATAAACGGATTCAAATTCAGGATAGAACTTGATCGAGGCACTGGACGCTTCTCACGTAAGGAGTGATACTCTTGAGAATATTCTCGGCGCTGAGTTTCTAGGATAAGAGTTCGTTCAGCCTGGTTAATTTCTCCGCTTGTAGGATGGATCTCCTGTAGTACGGTACGGTAGTTTTCGGCAGCGCTGTAGGAAACGCAGGACGTACGCGCGGACTCGTAGAGCTTTTTCAAGCGTGGAGAATCGCTCGAGGAAGTCTTCGGGTGGGCTGGTTGTGAAATGGACTTTCACAGCCCGCTGCTCGAGGTCTATGACGGGGGTTTCCTGATCTTGGAGCGGCCATTGAGAGCGTGGTTGCTGTAACCACGAGGGCCCATGCCACCAGAGATGGTTGTCAACCAGATCCTGTAGAGGAACCCCCCGACTGGCTAAATCCGCCGGGTTGTGCTCGGAGCGAACATGAGACCACTTTTGGGTCTCGGTGGTTTGAGCGATTTTCGTCACTCGATTGGCCACGAAGGTGGTCCAATGGCATGCAGGCTTGTTCAACCAGGCGAGAACGATTGTGGAATCTGTCCAGTAGTAACAGGTAGACCCTGTCGTCGGCATACTTGGCAGGATAGCCGTCGCCATTTCGGCTAGAAGCACGGCCCCGCACAGCTCTAACCGGGGAAGCGATACGGTTTTTACGGGCGCAACTCGTGTCTTCGCTGCCAGTAGATGCACGTCGATACGCTGGCCCATCTCAACGCGAACATAAATCGCGGCGCCGTAAGCCTTTTCTGAGGCATCACAGAACCCATGGTGCTCCACCTTAACGGATGGCTGGGAACCAATCCACCTTGGGATACGGATCTTGGTGAGACAGGAGTAGCTACGCAGGAAGGCTTGCCAGTATTGACACAGTTCGTTGGGAAGGTTCTCGTCCCACTCCAGTTCCTGCAACCAAATTTCCTGCATGAAGATCTTGGAGCGGACGATGAACGGTGCCAGCCACCCTGCAGGATCAAACAGTTTCGCTATCTGCGAGAGGACTTCTCGCTTGCTGTAGGATGACTCAAGCGAGAGCACCGGAGGAACAAAGAAGAACTCGTCGGAGGTCGCTTTCCAGCGAATGCCGAGGGTCTTTGCCGTGCTCTGTGCGTCAATCTCCAGGAAATCAGTGTGAAGGAGGTGGTCACTCGGAATCTCGGCCAATACGTCCTTGTGGTTGGCTGTCCATTTTCGTAGCGGAAAACCTGCCGAACTGAGGGCGGCCTGTAATTCGCGGATGGCTAGCTGAGCCTCCTGTGTGGAGTCAGCGCCGGCGAGGACATCGTCGACGTACATAAAGTGCCGAATGATATGACTAGCCCTGGGGAATTGCGATTGGACGTCGTTGGAAAGCTGTTGAAGGACTCGAATGGCGAGAAAGGGGGCGCAGTTGACGCCAAAGGTGACGGTTTTCAATTCGTAATCACGAATTTCCCCCTCTGCGTTTCGAAACAATATTCTCTGGAAACGAGTGTGTTCTGGATCCATCCAAATCTGACGGTACATTTTGGTGATGTCGGCGTTGAACGCATATCGGAAGTAGCGCCATTTCAGAATCTGAAGGGTCAAATCGGATTGTAGGACCGGGCCCGCGTGAAGGAGGTCATTCAAGCTCGTTCCGTTCGCGGATGGGCTGGATGCGTTAAACACCACACGAAGCTTCGTTGTAGTGCTATCGGGTTTGATTACTGCGTGGTGAGGGAGATAGTAGTTGTTGGAGTCGTGGCTCGGAGGGACCTCTGTCATGTGGCCCAGATCTGAGTATTCTTGGATTACGGAAACGTACTGTTCGTGCAACGGCGAATCTCTCTTCAGCCGATTCTCGTTCCTTAAGAACTGGGCTAGTGCGATGGACCTTGAATACCCTAGGCCAGACCCGAGATGACCCGGGTCGCGGAATGGTAGGGTTACCATGTATTTTCCGCTTGTTGCCCTCGTGGTGGTTTGTAGGAAGTTGCTTTAGCAATAGGAATCGGACTCTCCTACTAACTTGGTTGGTAGATCCTCCACCTCCCAAAACTTTGTGAGGAGCTTGTCTAATGGAGCATCGAGGACGTTGGACACTTGTGTGGAGAAAGATGCGATTCGGTTCGGGGGGGCACTGGGCACCGGACCAGTAAGCAACCACCCGAAAATCGTTTCCTGCCCAAGGAGAGAGCCACAAATGTCGGTCTGTGAACCGCTCAGAAGGATGGAGGGAAGGATATCGGCTCCGATCAGGACATCTATCTGCGAGCTCTCATAGAAGGTGGGATCAGCTAATGGCAGGTTCGGCAAATCTCGCAACGCACTTAGCAGAATTGGATATGAAGGGAGATTGCCTGCTAGTTCCGGCAATACGTAAGCCGCGGCTTTCAACTGCAAGCCCGGCTTAGTCGGGGAACGAATGGAAAAGTGGCAGAGCTTCTTGGACTGAGCTGCTACCGACTGACTCAGGCCTGAGACTTGTGCCTGAATAAGGCGGAATGGTAGTTTGATGATGTTAAAAAGCCGTTCCGTAATGAACGTAGCCTCGGAGCCCGATTAGAGCGATTAGATTAGAGCGCGGGCGCGGAAATTTGTCCCCAGGTGGCAAATGTTAATTATTGCCGTGCCTAGAAGAACGGGCCTGGTGCCCGAGGTGAAATAATTTTGCACGGTGGGCTGAGCGTCGGACGGGCTGTGGGTCACTTTAGGGGCGCCTGGAATGCTTAAATTCTTGGTAATTGCGAAATTTGCATAAGCAGCGGAGTGCTGGTACCGCGTATCGGACGAACGCGTTCGTGCCTACATATACTAAGTGTGGTATGTAGATGTGGAGTAATCGGTATTTTTTAGGTATTTTCCCACCGGGATTAATGAGGTTTATTATTTATGAGAAGTATTGAGTGAAAATAAGATTGTAAGAATATACAATTCGATATACACAATAAACAATAAATACAATAAACAACGCCAATAAATTACTTCGGATGAGTGTTTTATTGGGGGCGGGGTATGTGTGTGCGAATCAGGCACAACATATGCACATGCATATATACATACGTGTCGGACGCCGCTATTGTGGCTGTGTAGCGGATAATTGCTAATAGCTAACGGAAAGTGTTAGTGAGATCGGACAATATGTACATAAAAATATATATGTACATATGGATAAGTGGACACTCGGACGTGAATAGTGCGGAACGCCAATCGCGGAAGGAATCGATTGGCGGCACAATATGAGCGTACTTATCTGCAGTTCTCTCTGGAATCCACCGATGCTTGCTGGGACAATCTCGATTCAGCAAGAATCCGGCTCGAAGGACCAATGTTTGTAGTAGGGCGCTTCCTAGTGCTGCAGATAAGCCCTCAGAAGATCCAAAGTGTCCCGCAATGAATAGGCACAGTATGATGGTTAACAAATCGGTTTATTGGGCACTCGAAACGGCGCGGTTGTTTGATTATATGTGTGTATGTATGTGGGTGTGAATATAAACGATTCTATGTATCGACGCGTACCGGAATGTACGGGGGTGGGTAGAATACTAAACTCCAGCTTAGTGAGCTGGCTGCCCGCCAACTCGCTAGCGCCAGGCAAGAGAGAGCGCGCTCCGGCTGTTAACAACAGCCCCCTGCCAACTCGCTGCTGCTACTCTCAACACCGTGTAACGAACCATGGGCCCCATGGATCCCATCGATGCAAGCCACGCTACTCCCAGGTGAAAATATCAACACCAAAGAAATTGAAGGCGCAGCACAGTTCGAAAGACAGACAGAGGTCGACCGAAGAAAGAAAGAAAAACCAAAAACCCAGAACACGCGCGGCCAATCGACGGAAAGGCGCTGACCAAGATTATATATTCAACCCCCACCACAGCAAAACCTAAGTAACCAAACGCTCTCAAATGACGCGTTCAACACCCAACAAAAACGAAAACTCAGCACACCCCAAACAACAGGAGCCTGGCACAAGGGGGCTTACGCAATGATTACCTAAAAAAAATTAAATAAATATTAAATAAATGAATATTCCTTAGAGTTTATTCACGAAGTGTCAACAAAATTCCTTTCCCACGGTACCGGTGTACACCGATCCCCTTACCTGGCACATTTGTTGGGAGGCGATTGCCTAAGGTAACCCTCGATTACGGGGCAATCCACTCACACGCGCGAGCCAGTCAGCAGTCTGCGACTTCCCTTACCGGAAATATTGGACACTGGGACACTGCTATCGATATCGGAATAGATACAATAAAGCAGAAAAGGCTTTTACATTGGCAGACGTGCGTCTTGAACTTTGATTTGGGTGCTTGATGACATGGAAAGAAAAACAAATTTTGAGAAATCAACAGAATTATGCAAGACGACAAGAAAATTGAAAGAGAATTGATTCTCATATTTATGTATTATTTTCAGACATTTCTTTGTAGAGATTTTGGGAGTTCTTCTTCAAATTATAAAAACCATCGAAGTTCGTCTGCAGCAGTGTCTTAATGGCATCAGGGGTCACACAAATGTCGTATGAAAATAATACAATCAGTTCCAAGTATTTTATTTAATGATTTTATGTATATTTTTACCTTTTTGCACAACCATAAATTCCTGGCGCCAAAATTTAATTTTTGATCTACAAGTTTTTGTTGTTATTAGTGGTGATAGTTGCGCTGATAGGCAAAAAAGTGCAAAAATGTGCTGTTAGGCGCAAAAGCAATCGAATATATCGAATAGACGCACATGAATCAGAGACCGACGCAACTTTTTGCCACCACTAGGGCCCTATGCTTAACCTATGTAAAAAAAACTGGGTCTCCAGCAAGACGCAAAGAAGCATGACGCAGCCCCAGTATAAACGGCCTATTAGAATCCTTCCAACATTCCGAAGTAGAAATACGACATCTGTAAGACATTGGTGGAAAAAACGATGGCTGGCCGATCCGTAAAAGGCACTGCCTTTGAGACGAGGCAGTCCATCAGCCATAGCAGTCAGGCAAATAACAAACACGCAAGTCAGGTAGTCGGTCAACCATACGCGTCATAGAACAAATAAAAATAACCTAATACATAACATAACACGGTAGCATAATAATATGGAAAATAAAGATACCCATTAAAAGTCAAGGAACCAAAAGTGTTGTGATTTCGCTAATCATTTTATTTCAGGTGCTGGCAAAGTCCCGTTTTTCCAATAAAGTCCTCGTGAATTATAAATTATCTAGTAATTCAGGACTCTGGACAGACTGATGCATATCCCAGCCTGAGATAGGTTCTTACAAGTGGTGCCCAAACAGGGACTTTAAAGGATTTTTGTAGGAAAATTTCAAGAAAACCGAAATCAGGGACTTCGTGGAATAACGACTCACTGCCCACACAAGCCAAACTCACCAATAACAGCTCATCAATAACAAATGACAGTGACTCAGTGCCAAAATCAACAGAAAACCACCATGGAATATCACGACGAGGAAGAACCAGAGGAGGCATACCTGCGGAACACTTTTGCAATCCAGGGGCCAGCACCGGCTGGATCCACAAACTCCGTCGGGACGAACTAGAAGTCCTCGCCAAAGAATTCGGATTCGGCAACGAAGGAACGGTCGATGAGCACAGAAAGAAATTTTCCGCACTAGTCGCCGGGCCACTAGGAAAGTCACCACTGCCCACTAGAGCCACCACTGCCCACTACTCCTGGACCATCCGACACGCACGCTATTTTGACAATCGGAAGACCAGATCCGAGCCCGCAAGCAAGCGGTGGGGGAATCGTTCAAAGATGTCCTCATCGAGATGCGGCTACTCATGCACCACGCTGGCTACTACGCGGTTAAAGAACTAAACAGGACTTACAACCATGCCCTACCAGCATACCATATGTACTTGCGCCGCTACGAACTGCAAGACCTGTCACAGCTAACACTGCTGGCCACGGAGTTCGAGAGTATTCCAGAGCGGACCATCCCGACCACTCTTGCACCCTCGCCACACACGCCCAGATACGCAAGGCCGGCAACAGAGCAGAGGAGCGGCGAGTTCAATTGGACACCATTTCGGAAGCCCCATTAGGACTCGTTAGAGTCACCCAGCCAGTACAGCAAATTCCGATGTAGCGCATCCCATGATCACGACCCCCATCGCCACCCCACGCGCAGCCTGTCGCCGGTATGGTGAAGCAGGACATGCGGCATACGACTGCCATAATCCCTCGATCCTGTTCAGCTGGGAATGTGGCAAGTGCGGCACACGGACCATCGATTGCTGTCGCCTGACACGGGTGCAGTTGAAAACGACCCGCAACCAAAGAATCTCCTGCACGTGAGCGACGGCAGGATAGTGGAGAGGGTGACCATAGGAGAACACGCAACGGAAGCCACGATCGACACCGGGGCATCCCGAAGCTTTATCAGTGCAAACCTCGCCCGACAACTAGACAACAATCCACTTTTACCCTTTAACACTATTTTGAGTACGGGTATAACGAGAAGGAACATGTGAGTCGCTTCTCGAGACGCGACTCTACGTATACCCGTACTCAGTCAGTATATACATTTTTAAGCATATGATTTATTAGAATTTTAGAATTCAAAAAAACATTTTACACTTTTTTTGCTACATCTGCTATCTACATCTACATCTACAAGGTATATTCTACATCTAAAATGTAGATTACACATGAACCATTTAGATTCTACATCTCCTCCGCTATGGGTTGCTCGCGCACTGAACGCGGCAGAGTGTGCGAGCGAGAAAGAGAATGAGTAGCGTGTCTCTGGCTGTGGTGGCGGGGGAAGCAACTGAAAATTAATTTCTTCATTCTGGCTATAATTATGATCCGATCTGATTCAGATTCTGCAGTCTGGTAGATATGTAGGTCATTCTCTACGATACTGCGTTTTCAGTTTTATCGTATCTTTAAAATTGTGCCTGCCACAGGTTTTCGTCTTTCATGGGATCGTAGGGGGGCGGGGCTAAATTTTGAAATACACTTGTAGCAGTGTGATATCACATGAGTCTGGAAACAAGATTTGGTTGCTCTAGCTCTTATAGTCTCTGAGATCTAGACGCTCATCAAGACGGACAGACGGACATGGGTATATCGAGTCGGCTTTTGATGCTGACCAAGAATATATATACTTTATGGGTTCGGAAACGTTTCCTTCTCTGCGTTGCACACATCCACTTTTACCACAAATACAATATACCTCTTAACTTTTTTTTAGTACGGGTATAAAAATGTACACTTAATACAACGTACACGCACACTCTAAAACTTTTATATATATACTTTATACAGAAGCAATGTACACTTAAAACAAAATACACGTATGTACACTTTAAAACTATTATAAGTTAACAAAATCGCATAAATGCATTATAAGGAACACACAAATAATACATCATATACACCTTAGAATAACTCTATATATATTACGTTATTCTTACAAAAAGGGGAGGTGTAGTGTATTCATGAAGTGTGTTTGGCCAATCAATTTAAGCACCACTCTAAAGACAAATTGCAATATGATGCGGCCCCAGCGGCAATCGCTGTCAATGCCCAAAAGGGCATTGCTATTTTTTTGCTACATCTGCTATCTACATCTACATATACAATGTCTATTCTACATCTAACATGTAGATTGTACATGTACCATTTAGATTCTACATCTCCTCCGCTGGGGGTTGCTGGCGCACTGAACGCAGCAGAGTGTGCGAGCGAGAAAGAGAATGAGTAGATCTCTGGCTGAAGTAGACGGGGGAAGCAACTGAAAATTAATTTCTTCATTCTGGCTATATTTATGATTCGATCTGATTCAGATTCGGCAATCTGGTAAATATGATCAATCTCTACGATACTGCGTTTTTAGTTTGATCGTATCTTTAAAATTGTACCTGACACAGATTTTCGTCCTTTGTGGGGGCGGAAGTGGGCGGGGCGAAATTTTGAAATACACTTTTAGCAGTGTGATATCACATGAGTCTGGAAACCAAATTTGGTTTCTCTAGCTCTTATAGTCTCTGAGTCTCGGACGGACAGACGGATATAGCTATATCGACTCGGCTATTGATGCTGATCAAGAATATATATACTTTATGGGGTCGGAAACGTTTCCTTCTCTGCGTTGCACACATCCACTTTTACCACAAATACAATAAACCCCTTAACTCTTTTTTGAGTACGGGTATAAAAAGTATTAATAGCCATTCACGGTACCAAATTTTTGGTAAAAACCGATCATCGTCTATTAACATACTTATTTTCAATGAAAAACCCCCGTCCAAATTAACACGAATGCGATTAGAAGAATATGATTTTGTGGTGGAGTACATAGCAGGGAAAGAAAACTATGTAGCGGATGCGCTATCCCGCAAAGAAATATCCGATTTGAAAAGTTTAACTGCCAAGGCAGCCAAATACTCAATGTAACAACATGGTCGGAGGCCGAAAAATTAATAATAAAAAAAACACTCCTAATAAGAGTATCAAAAAATGTCTTAAGGTGCCAAAAATATACGAAGTCCTATATAAAAAAGAAGTAAACCGTTTAAAGAACCATGGACCCCATGGTTCGTCACAAGCAGTCGATACAAGCAACGCTACTTCCACAGAAAGAAAGAAAAACCAAAAACTCAGAACACGCGCGGCCAATCGACGGAAAGGCGCTGACCAAGATTATATAATCAACCCCCACCACAGCAAAACCTAAGTAACCAAACGCTCTCAAATGACGCGTTCAACACCCAACAAAAACGAAAACTCAGCACACCCTAAACAACAGGAGACTGGCACAAGGGGGCTTACGCAATGATTACCTAAAAAAAATATTAGATAAATAAATATTCCTTAGAGTTTATTCACGAAGTGTCAACAAAATTCCTTTCCCACGGTACCGGTGCACACCGATCACCTTACCTGGGACATTTGTTGGTAGGCGTTTGCATAAGGTAACCCTCGGTAGTCGGGCAATTCACTCACACGCGCGAGCCAGTCAGGAGTTATTGGTGGTGATAGTTGCGCTGATAGGCAGAAAAGTGCAAAAATGTGCTGTTAGGCGCAAAAGCAATCGAATATATCGAATAGACGCACATGAATCAAAGACCGACGCAACTGTTTGCCACCACTAGGGCCCTATGCTTAACCTATGTAAAAAAAACTGCGTCTCCGGCAAGACGCAAAGAAGCATGACGCAGCCCCAGTATAAACGGCCTATTAGAATCCTTCCAACATTCCGAAGTAGAAATACGACATCTGTAAGACATTGGTGGAAAAATCGATGGCTGGCCGATCCGTAAAAGGCCCTGCCTTTGAGACGAGGCAGTCCATCAGCCATAGCAGTCAGGCAAATAACAAACACGCAAGTCAGGCAGTCGGTCAACCATACGCGTCATAGAACAAATAAAAATAACCTAATACATAACATAACACGGTAGCATAATAATATGGAAAATAAAGATACCCATTAAAAGTCAAGGAACCAAAAGTGTTGTGATTTCGCTAATCATTTTATTTCAGGTGCTGGCAAAGTCCCCGTTTTTCCAATAAAGTCCTCGTGAATTATAAATTATCTAGTAATTCAGGACTCTGGACAGACTGATGCATATCCCAGCCTGAGATAGGTTCTTACAAGTGGTGCCCAAACAGGGACTTTAAAGGATTTTTGTAGGAAAATTTCAAGAAAACCGAAATCAGGGACTTCGTGGAATAACGACTCACTGCCCACACAAGCCAAACTCACCAATAACAGCTCATCAATAACAAATGACAGTGACTCAGTGCCAAAATCAACAGAAAACCACCATGGAATATCACGACGAGGAAGAACCAGAGGAGGCATACCCTGCGGAACACTTTTGCAATCCAGGGGCCAGCACCGGCTGGATCCACAAACTCCGTCGGGACGAACTAGAAGTCCTCGCCAAAGAATTCGGATTCGGCAACGAAGGAACGGTCGATGAGCACAGAAAGAAATTTTCCGCACTAGTCGCCGGGCCACTAGGAAAGTCACCACTGCCCACTAGAGCCACCACTGCCCACTACTCCTGGACCATCCGACACGCACGCTATTTTGACAATCGGAAGACCAGATCCGAGCCCGCAAGCAAGCGGTGGGGGAATTGTTCAAAGATGTCCTCATCGAGATGCGGCTACTCATGCACCACGCTGGCTACTACGCGGTTAAAGAACTAAACAGGACTTACAACCATGCCCTACCAGCATACCATATGTACTTGCGCCGCTACGAACTGCAAGACCTGTCACAGCTAACACTGCTGGCCACGGAGTTCGAGAGTATTCCAGAGCGGACCATCCCGACCACTCTTGCACCCTCGCCACACACGCCCAGATACGCAAGGCCGGCAACAGAGCAGAGGAGCGGCGAGTTCAATTGGACACCATTTCGGACAACTAGACAAAAATCCACTTTTACCCTTTAACACTATTTTGAGTACGGGTATAACGAGAAGGAACATGTGAGTCGCTTCTCGAG